TTATGAATACATATTATACATATTTTATATATATTTGTTATGCTTTGTATTTGCTGGACTTGGTTTGATCTCACTTTGTATATGCCGCATAGCAAAAAAGTGGATCAATAAAAATGTAAATGCTTGCAATAGACAGAAGAGGACATATGTATTGAATGGGTGGACAGTATATATTAGTCACAATCAATACAAATATGCTCAAAGGAACTAAACTAAACATCGAACTAATAGTGTTGCAAATACTTTGCCAGGGACTATGGAATGTAACTAAAGAGTGTTCCATCGGTCTGTAAATATCTATCGAACAGTGTTTTTATTGTACAACATTTTATTAGTTTACAATTCAGAAGGCAGCTAACCAAATGAAATTTCAATCAAGTTTTGTGAAATAAAGTATTTGCATAGAGATTTGGCTGTTCTAAGCGGGTTACAGGGTATATGCTAGTTGAGAGTTCATTTATGTGTGCTTTTTATGCCTTAGTTGTCGCATTTGGTTTCTTTTTTTTATGGCATCGTAAACAGCACATAATACTAAAGAGCTTTGTTTGGCCGAAATCATGGGCGTGGCAAAAGGGCGAGCGCGTCTGGCCGAAAATTTGTTGCTTACTTTGTTTACCGGCCCCGAATGTGTGGGCGTACAAAGCCTCGTGTCTGAGCGCTACGGATTCCATACTGGGCACTCGTAGAATGCCTGCCTGTCTCTGTGTGTGTTTGTGTGTGTGTTGGTGTGTGTGTGTGTATGTGTTGGTGTGTAAGGGAGCGCTTTGCCTTTTGCCTCGTGTGAATAATAAAATAGTTTCGAGTATCCATTTGCATATTTAAAATGCGAACGGATGCTAGCAAAAGGGGGCGTGACCAGCAGGCACTAAATATTTGCTTAAGCACTAAACACTGTCTTCTTCACGTTCCTGTGTCATATCCTTTGTGTCCTGTGTCCTGCGTCCTCTGCTTTGTGCACGACTCGATGTAGCTATGGGTGTTGGTGTTGGTGTGGATGCGGGTGTGCATACACAACTCTTTTAGCATGTTCATGTCCACAGCTGCTAATGGCTTTCATTTTGCATCGCTGCCACCACCATACCATCATATCCCTTACCCCGGCCACGTGCTGAGCATTTAGATTTAATTTTTTATGCACTTTCATTAAATAATAGCACGTTAGAAAAGCACGTTGGACAGGGCTGGGAACAAACAGAAATACATAATCACATTCTAGACACAAATGAAGTTGCAACAGCTGTTGTGTCCCTCATTTTCGCATATATACATTTATGCTATATATATATATATATATATTCGTATGTACATATGTACTAATATGCTGTAGTTTGGGCATCTCCCATTGGAACTTGACTGCCCATGTTGATTAAGGTTAACAGCGACTGAGCTCAAATTCTTTCATCAGAAATCCATGGAGAGTCTGCGTTGCTTTAGTTCAGGGAATTTGTACGCAGAAAATACTCATACAAACACACACATATAAACACACACACACATGCACACACACACACACACTCTCAATTTAGATATACACCCACAAGCTGTATTTTTAATTGAACACAAATTAAATTTAAGGGTTAACATTTTCTACTAGTTCCCCCCGCATAATAGAAAAAGGGGAGAACTCAAATACACAGAGCAACAAGCTAACAAATCAAACAAAAAATGTAAGCTGGAACGCGAATGAAGTGAAATATATATAGAAATATATATAGATATATATTTGTAAATTCTGAAGTTTTACATCGATTTAGATGAGAGGTGGGAGTGGTAAAAAAATACAGAATTTTAGCAAAGATTTATACTTTTAACTTGCAACGGTTATTTAAATGATTCACCTGCACAGCAATATCGTAAATATTAAAGTAATTATTAAGGTGGGCACTCTGGGCACTTTGACAAATTTGAAGACACTCATAACTACTTAAATACGACCAAAACTTTGAATTGCAAAGTTGTGAACATTAAGGCTTAGATTTACTTCCAGCTGCTGTTTGCCATTGTGTTTAGTGCCTTGCGGCATTAGAAAGTTGGAAATTAGGATGGGTATGTTTTTCTTCGAGTCTAATTGCAAATCGACAGCCCAGTGCAAGTTGGGATTATTTGTTGTTTACCATAATAAAACGCAAGAAACTCAAATTCCAAAAGTATTAAAAATAAATTGCAAAACACTCACACAGACAAACACACAGATTGGTTAACTTGCCGGGATTAGGAAACAGATCCACGCATATACACCAAGAGCTTAGCCCTTCAGTTGACAAGAACAACGACAACAAACAATTGGAAAGTATTTGGATCGCATTGTGTGTGTATTAAGAACTTTCGCCCCGCAAAAACACAAGCGAGTCCCAGGTGCAGGAGCAGGAGCAGGCTCGATAGTCCACCAAGTCCACCACAGACTGACACTCTCGGATTAAATACAAGAACTAAACGAGCGAACACTTTGCACCACACACGTACATCTGTGTACATAACAATATGTATTTATGTATGTATGTATGTATGTATACGTTCGAATGACACATAATAACATAAAGGTATTATAGAGCTTAACTAGTATTTCATGATACGAGAGACAGTAAGGAACTGTTACACCGACATTTGTCCATTCGCATGGGATTTGCTGGGGATTCATATTTAAGCTGTTTAGGTGTTAGAATTCGCCAGTTTAAACTACAACCTGAATTAATATGAGTTTCACAAAAGTTAGCAATTTGTATATACAGTTTTTGAATGCATTTACATTTACAAATGTTATGCTATGTTTTTTATAACACTTCACTCTGAAATCGGTTCAGACTTTATGGTTGCGAGTATCTTAAGAAGTATCTAAGGTTCAACAGTTTTTTACATTTTGCATTTGTTTTAATACCCTGCACTCAGCTTGATTGAGTAAGATGGATATCATGAAGGTGTGCGAATGTATGCAACAAGTTGCATCTCAGACTCCTTGAGCTATATATAATATGGATTAATATCAACAGGCTAGTGGATCTAGCCATATCCGTCTATTCATACGAACACGACTATATCAGACAATATCAGAGCAACAGGCACCAAATTTGGAATTATTAACATTAATTCAAATATCTACACATAATAAAAGTATGGCATCTGGTATTTTGCATTGTAGACATCAATAGGTCTTCTGCAAGTGCTGTAAGATTTTAGCCATTGAAGTCGTATTTCATAACGCCTCACTATGGCTGGCATGCCTCAAAAGTTAATTGAATTCGTGTATTGTTGTTGTTTTTCTTAATATTCGCAAATTGTTATTTTCAAAAGGGCTTTCAGATCTGATTAAATTAAGTTCTAAAGGCTTCGGCTTACACATTTGACCTTGACCCCGACATGAATTTGAGATTAGTTTTGCAGTTGGCCGTTTGGGATTTTAGATGTTCGGCGGTTGGTTGTTGGTGGCTGGTGGTTGGTGGTTGGCGGTTGGTGGTTGGCGGTTGGTGGTTGGCGGTTGATGGTTTCGATGGCGTTTCGGGTCTGTGTGTGTTCTCTGGGGGTCAATGGCAAGGGTGCATGATTAAATAAAAGTATCAGCTTACGAAAGCATCCATTGTCATTTATTATGATTACGTGCACATGATGCTCTGACAGTTGATGCCATTCCTAACCTGGCCACGTGCGGGTCCGAATTGGTTTGCTCCTCTCGGTCGCAGGTGTCAATGGGCCAACAGATTTTGCGATACTTACAAAGCATAACGCTCAAAGCGTTTCGATTCTTAAAGTTTTTACGATGCCAATGCTGGCAACAGCAGCGGCAACAGCCACGTCAACATCGCTTTATTGCCCCCCCCCCACCCCCCTTGCACTCCTGTGTGTGTGTGTGTGTGTGCTTTTTTTATCAGGTAGGCATAGCATTAATTTAATCGGCATGTCATTTCATGTTGAAAGTTTTGTTTTACGCTGTTCAGTGGGGCGGGCGGGCGCCATAAAAATTCACTGGTTTCGTGTGCAGTCATCAGGCAAACTGCCAATGCCACGCCCCCGGCATTCATCTATCACTCAATGGTACACTCTGAAATAAATGCGCCATCCTTGCTGCCACATATATATTTATATATGTATATATTTATAACTTAATTTCTGAAATCAATGGTCTTCTAGTTAGAGGTCTTGAAAAGCAGTGTTATTTTCTCTAAATTGCTGTGCATTTTTGACATAAGTCAAGACTTAGTTTCCAAAAACCAAATCTTATAGTTAAAGTCTTTTAATAATATTTTAATAGCTATGTTGGTCGTATATTGTATTGCTCTAAATGTACGACTTACTTTCAGCTAAACTTTTTTTTTAATTGAATCGTTGAATGTTTCTCAATACGATTTCATTAGAGGTTAATTTTCGAAATTGTGGCTCATATTTTTTTCTGAGTGCAGACACAGAGCGCCGCTGTCACCGCAGACTTTGCCCGCAATGCTCTGTCAATCAGAGAAGGTAGCGTCGATGTTGTTAGCGTTAAATGAGCTGAAGTGGCAGTGAAAATTGCAATATGCTGTGGAGACAACGGTACGAGGAGGATACGCCAGATTGAGATGGTACCGGTGTTGGTGCTGGTGTTGGTGTTGGTGTCTGGGGCTCGAAGTGACAGGTGAACCCACCTCATTCTCACAAACCCACAGAAAAGCTTCTGGGAAGTACTTATGCCTGTCTGCATGGGTGAAACTGGCTTTGTGGGGGTGTGTGTGTGTGGATTCGTGTCTCTCAGTACATGTGTCTGAGTATGCAGCTGCTTTTGATTGGTATTCTGCTGTAGCCTGACAATCGCTCAGCGCATCAAGCGCGTGGGCACACTGTGTGCCAGCAGCTGACACACAGGAGCAATGGCTGCAATTAATGACTTGTATAGTGTGCATCAGCAGGAATGGAATTTATCTCGCATTAGTTGGGAGTACAATGTGTGGGCGTAAACTAATCTCACTTTATTGTTGAGCAATAAGCGAACTTTTCATGTTTTACCATCCAATTTTATCAGTTGACAAACTTACCCGAAATACCAATTGAAATCAGCTATCAAGCAGTAAAGTGAGCAACAGCTGCAAATGAAAAGACCAAAGTTTTAGTTTAGTAAAGTAGTTAGTAAATATTTGTATATAATATATATTTATGTCAAATAGCCCAATCTGCATAATGTTTGCTAAACTTTGGATCTACTCAGTCAGAGTTATAGAGCTAAAAACTATACAGTATTGAATTGGGTGGATTTGCTTTCCAGTCGATTTTAATTCAAAAGTCAACGAAAGTGAAGAGCTAATTTACATTTGAGTTGAGTTTAGCGCATTTTGTGTAAGCATTTTATTAAAGTTATTGTTGATATCCGCTGTTAAAATTCTGTATAATTAATGAAAGCAGCCACAGCCAGCCAAATGATTAATAGGGGTCTAACCGCGCCGTAAATTAACGAGCAAGTGCAAGTTCGATTTATTGCATTATGTAATACACATATTTACATATATGTATACACAGTGAATAAATGCTTTTCATATACAAAACATTTAATATTAATTGAAGCATTTGTCAGTTAATGTTCGAATTTTGTTTCCATAATAAACGGTTCAAATCTAAGAATAAATGCTTTTTATCGCATGATAGGATTTTTTTCTCAGTGTATCAGACGTACACCAGCGATATAAACATACATATTGACACTCATGGTCAGCATAATTTTGATTGGAAATGCAAGCTCGAAATAACTTCGGGGAAATTAAATGGTCATCGCATAATGTAAATCAGCAAATGGAAAATTCCACCAAAAGCTTTTCAAATATTACGCAAAAGCCCAATGGTTTTTCTTTTTGTAAGTCATCCTGCCTAAATTGAAAATTAAAAAAAAAACCGAACGAAATTCAGTAACTGCAGAAGGGGGAAATTGAACGGAAAATTAAAAATAAAATTTCACATTTGCTGTGCTATTTACCACATTAGCCTTGCATGCCGCAACCAGTTGATGAATAATTCAAGATGTTGGTATACAGTGTACAGTAAAATGAATTTTCTTTATCTTTGCTTATAGAAGTACTTGTCAAAATATTGCACAATATTAGTACCCAAGCAAAACAGAGCCTTTAATTTGAGAGGTCTCTTTGCAAGTAGAGTGTGCTGTGAGCCACAATTACTCAAATTATATTTGTGGCCGCAGAAACTACTCCAGTATGCGATGTGGGTGTGCGAGTGTGTGTGTGTGATTGTGTGTGTGTGATTGTGTGTGTGTGATTATGTGTGTGCGCGTGTGTGTGTCTATGGCAACGTTTGTACAGCTCATTAAGAAGTTGCGTGTGCAACCGCAGAAGCCATTTGTTAGAAAATGCAAATGAAAGTGCATTTTGCATGTGTGCTGCTGCGGTACGGTCGGTGGGCGTAACATCTACTTCAGTTACCCCACTGATGCTAAAAGTATTTATGCGCCGCACATAATGGCGAAAAGTTGTGCGACCAAATGGAGCAGAGGGCCTAAAAGAAAATTGAGTCCAGTCGCATAGTGGATACCACTTGGGGTCACGGCCTCTCATTGTCTTGTTGCGTGAATGAAATGGCGAATCTGTGGCAGCTGTGAAAAATGAGCGCACGTACTGCATATGACAATAAAGAGGCAGAGTCCAGCCAGAGCAGCCAGAGCGGGATTAGAGCTGCTCGCTCCAGCTATGGTCACAATATGTGGCTTGTGACACATGCATGCAGATGTCATCGAGCATATGCATATTCGCTGTGTATGCATGATGGCAACCAAAACTTTGTTTGGCACGATGCATGCCACACAATGACTTTATTAGTATTGTATTTGCTCAAGTGAAAGTTTCTTAAAATTTGTCATGGATGTCGCATATACTTTTCTCATAAACCCATCACAATCACAAGCAGCAACAAAAGGCAAATTTCTAAGAAACATTCAATTTGTTCAGCAAAATATTTGCGCTTATCTCACAGTTGAAAAGCGTCAAACGGAAGCATCACGTTGGCGACACAGATTCAAACAGGCGTATTGATTGAGAGATAAGAGGCGAGGGGAGACCAGGTGAGGAGCAGTACAAAGATGCTGTGGGTATTAAAAATTTCAAAAGCAGATCGAAAATACACGAAAAATCCATATGAATGCAATGCTAGTAAAAGAAGGTAAACAATTTCCTTGAAGAAAACGCAGAGAGAGAGAAAGGAGAGAGAGGGAGAGAGATAAGAGAGATAAGTTTAAGAATGCTATGATTTTCTGTGTCTGTATAAAACTGGTGCTTATTTTATATGACATTTAAGGTTATTAAATTACCTTTCCAAATAGTATTAACATTATTAATACTTATTATGCCTAGCTTATGCATATGCTTATGCTTATCCACTTCAAGCAGCTGTGAGCTGAGTAACTTAATTAATTTGCTGCAGCTTGATTGTGACTCAATGTACGCTGATTAGCTTCCAGTTGCCAGTGAAAGCAATTTCATGTATTAGAGTACTCCATCCGTACACACAGACAATCACAAACACGAACAGAAACACAGACGGACACAGCCATGGATGCTACCTGGGCATCTCAACTACATTTCATTGCATATTTGCAGGCGCTGGCGGCGATACACAAAAGTCCCCATGGGGCAGGGCAACACTTTCATTATCTTTTATGTGCGTACATTCTTTTCAGACTTATGTGCGAGTGTGAGTGCGGGTGTGAGTGTGAGTGTGGGTGTGGGTGTGAGTGTGGGTACGAGTGTATGTGTTTGTGTTTGTGTTTAGTTGTGTTTGTGTGGGTGTAAGTCGAGTACATTCGAATGGCGCAGCAGCCAATTTATTTGAATAACCAAATGATTGGAGCCCCTCTGACATATCTATTGATGAGCCAGGCACACCACAATCAGTAACTAACAACAGTCAGCAAAATGGCCAAAAAATTAAAACAGAGGGCGATGGAGGCGGACACATGTGTCTCTCTGTCTGAAGTGGCATCCACAAAGAGCCGCCACTTCACATGCATTTCATTTCATCCCCATCTGTCCGATGGCACACTCGAGCACCCCGGCATAGGGTGAGCATAAATGAGCTGCTGCTCATCGAATGTGGAAGCTGGCGACACTGCTGATGATAGTGCGAAAATACATTTGATGTTGCCACAGCCGTAAATGAGTAATCCCAATGCCAACGACAATCACGCCCAAAACCAATTTCTAAGCCAATCGACAAATGCCAAAGCCAATGGCTTCTTCAATTGAATATAATTTGACTGTCGCATTAACAGCTGGGCCCCCGGAACAGGCAAGACGCAACCAGACAGTGCCGCCAGCGAGGGTCTTTCGCTTTAACCCAAATGAAATGTAAATGACCATGACTGTAGTCAATCCCTTCAGCACTTCATTCATACATACATATGTATATACGTTTGTATGTGGCCCATAACCATAAAATACAAATCCCCAATTAAATAGCAAAAACAACGCAAACAATATCTTTACCAGAAATAAGAGTGGTTAAAAATACAAAAATTGTGGTCACTTGGCCAGATAAACGAATCCTTGTAGGGTGCGAGCACAAGGACATCGAGATGGTCACCACCAATAATTAAAACAGAAAATAAAGAATTGAAGCTATAAGACACACCGAGGACTGTATACTCTTTAAGAACTTGTCCACCTGATAGATACAAAATATATGCGAGCTAATTAATATTGGAGTCACATTTTGATAATTTATATGTGAAAATGTTATAAGTTATGTACACAGGATATATTACATGTAACTGGTGAGTTTTGACCGATAGTAGAGATACGATCCTGATGATTCAATATGAAATATCTTAAGAACTAAAAGACTAGTTTGCAATAGACTGAAAAATGGCATGATATGAATATCTGATGGGGTCGGGAGGCATTCCTATAATGGGTTACTTACTACATTACAAAATTGTAATGCCGTCTGCATGAGTACATTTAAGCTGCAACTGGCAGCCAAGACCATTGTTCCGTCGCGACGCCGATGCTTGTCTTTGATAAGTCCTGCACACTGCGATTTGGCTCAAGGCAATGGCAAATTGGCAAAACAAAAAAATAAATAAATCGCCAAAGCTGCTGGCGGAAACAGTTTCTGATACCATTCAACGCCAAATTTAATAGCTAGCTTTGCATCGGGATTGTGCTCTGTAAATTGTATAACGCCTGACACGTGGCGTATACGCAGTCTGTACTAGGAGGGGTCTTCAAATTAAGTAAATTTCTAAACTGACATTTATTTTATACAAAGTTGTTCACACTATATAAACAGAGCAAACGAATAAAAGGACTTAAAATGTTTCATGGCTTCACTTTATTCGACAGTTGCCAGAAATATGTCGAGCTGGCCGAATTTGAACGGAAAGTTGCCATGGGCGAAGGCTTTAAGAATATAATTGGCATCTCAATTAGGGGTTCGTCACCTATTACCTAAACTTCATCCAAAATAATATATACGTTAATTTAGCAAGTGGTCGAGAAGTCGAAGGGAGAGAGAGAGAGAAAGAGAGTGGAAATAATCGCATTGGCTTGGCACGTGTTCAGTGAGTGGTGTCATCAATCAAGTGCAAGTAGGCAGCTAATCAATTGATGTTCTCAAAGCTGAAAACAAACTAAATAACAGAGGCTCAACACTGGGCAAGTGGTAAGTGGTAAGTGGTATAAGGCAAATGGCTCATTTGGCCACGTTGCCAACTTCAAAGTCGGCAGTTAGCCATTCAATCACTTGCGAGACGCTCGGCCAACTGCCAACTGCCAACTGCCAACTGCTAACTGCCACTTGCAACTGTCTGTCAAAGGCACAAGGAGCTGTAGTTGAATTACATTACAACCGAATGACTTGGACAGACCGAAAAACAATGTGCCATTTGGGCCATGCCAAATGGTTTAGTTAACCCAACTAATGGACCCAAAACTCGTGTCAGTAATCATAATATTTATGCCAGGAGCAATTCAATGATAAAGTAAACAATACCAATGGCAGCCAATATAATCGGAACTGCTACCATTACTGAACCTAAAACTGGACCAGAATCTAAGACCTCTTTCAAACTCAAAGCGAAATATTGAGT